TGGATGCAGTATTCCAAGTGTGGCCTTACTAAGGCATTGTAAAGTGGTATTAATACTTCACGTGATCTTGATTCTATCCCTCTGTTAATGCAGCCCAGCACTGTGTTGGCTTTTTTGGCAGCTGCAGCACATGCCAAAAAAGCCAACACAGTGCTGGGCTGCATTAACAGAGGGATAGAATTATTATTAAATTATTAAAGTGAATAAAGATGGAGCTGAAAATGTTTTCAAATGTGGAAGAAATGGGTCACTGGGATGACTTGGGCCTTAGATTTTGACCTATTTTAAGATTATTAAATTACACCATTTCCTAGGGTGCAAGCTTCACTGAACATAAGGCTGCATAATGTAAGACGGTGAAATTGGGACTGCTACCTGTGTTTTGGAAAAGCAGCTACAGCCAGGCAGAAATGCTTCCCTGGCACTTCTATCAGGCTTTCAGGCATGCATCCATACTCACAGGCATCCAAGCCAGTGTTACGACTGCCTGTGCTAACTGAACCACACCCTGGTGTTTTCAAGGATGGGCTGACATCCAGAGGCATCCTCACCCACCCAGTCCTTTGAGCTTACAAAAGCAAAGGCTAAGGCAGAGTGGGAAAAGAGGTGTGTGTCTGTGTGTGTGTCTGTGTGTGTGGGGGGGCAGGAAAGATGAAAGCAAAGGGCCTACAGATGAAGAAGCGGAGGTGATGTCTGCAGATTGACAGCCTAGTACAAGCAGGCAAAAGAACTTTCATTCAACTACAAGGATCATAAACTACAGCAGGGATGTCCAACCTTGGCAACCTTTAAGACCTGTGAACTTCAACTCCCAGAATTCCCCAGCCCACATGGTCATCTGGGGAATTCTGGGAGTTGAAGTCCATAAGTCTTAAAGTTGCCAAGGTTGGAACACCCCCCCCCCCCCAAGAGCTACACTGAGCAGCATATCCTGGTAGGAGTCCAACTTGGACCTTTGCCTGGAGCTTGGCAGACACTAGAAAAGTAGCAACCACACAAGTCATGGTTCCATGCAAACATGCAATATTTATCACTTGTTGCTTGTATGTACAGCTTATGCACCAGTGACAAATTCCTTGTGTGTCCAATCACACTTGGCCAATAAAGAATTCCAATATCTGCAATATACTTGAAAGAAATTACTTCAAAAAGAGCTACCTGATCTGGGCTTCATAAATCCAAGTAACCACAGATGGCAGTCATAAATTATTTCAAGGAGAAAAGAATAGAAATTAAAAAGTGAAACTTAGTGTAGAAATATAGAATAAATGAAAGATGGAAATACGGGTAACCCTCATTTATGGACATAATTGGGACTGGCTGCTCCACTCATAGTGACACGGTTGTAAAGTGAAGCATCACATGGACGATGCCCAACTTACAATATCAGCTTGAACTATGGTTGTGAAAGAAATCAACATGGTTGTTAAGCATGATATCACATGACCATGGCTTGACGCTTCTTGCTAGCTTCTCCACTGACTTTGCTTATTGGAAGCCAGTGAAGGTCACAAATGACAATTGGATACTGTAACCGAGGGAGACTGTGACATCATAAACACATGCTGGTTATCTGGTGCCAAATTGCAATCACATGACAGTGGGGATGCTGCAACGAGTGCACATTCAAGGTTGTAAATAATCTTTTTCATAGCTATTGTAACTTCACACTGTCACTGAGCAAGCAATCAGTAAATGAGGTCTACCTGTAAAAAGATGAGGACCAACTGGGTTGTAAAAATAAAGAAGAGAAATCTATACCCTACCAAAACTTTTGTGTCTGTTTGTAACTTTCAATTGGGTGAAATTGGAAGTTATAGGGCAACAATTATTGAACCAAGTTAATTCAGATGGGATAACTTACAGAATGCCATGGCTCCCATGGGAATGAAATTTGGGAAAGTTGTGGCTGCTTCAATGCCATTCCACCATCTGGCTACATTTCCTAGAAACCCATAGGTTGCATGGCACAAAGAAAGATGGGAAGCTCAGATGCCGGCCCTCTTTCCTGCCTCTCTCTGGTGTCTACACCCAATCGGCTGGGGCAAGGCCTGACAGGTGAGCAGCGAGTGGCTGCTTGGTACAGACGTCAAAATATAAAATATCTTAATGGTGGTGGGTGGCAAGAGAAGGATGAGGGAGAGATTTGGATGCCTGCTTGTAAGGTAGAGCTGGCTGGGATGTACCAGTGGTCAATGGTGAGCTCTCTTCTTTCCTGGAGGGAGAGGGCTCTTAGGGACACATCATGAGGGGAAGCAGGATACAGTTTTCCTCATAGTCCACAGCTCCCTTTGTTCCATCTCCCTTTAGCAGTGACAGGCAGTTTCATGGCTCAGCCAAAGAGGAGTGATTTCCAATGCTTCCTGCCAGCTGCCCATAAGCAATGTCAACAGGAAAGCTTGTAGGAAGATGGGAGTTCCCCAAGCTCCCACTGCTTGTTTCCTCCCTTTCACTTATTCTGTTCCTCTGTTTAAGTAAGGAAATATCTCAGAAAATATGACCTAGCGCAGTGATGGCGAACCTTTTAGAGACTGAGTGCCCAAACTGCAACCCAAAACCCACGTATGCATTGTCGAGTGCCGGGTGGGTGTGGCCCATTGGCTGGGTGTGGCCCATTGGGTGGGCGTGGCCAATTGGGTGGGCATGGCTGCAATGGTAACGGCAGACTGGGTGGGACTAAAAAGTTCAATCAATCAATTCCAACTTTTCAAGAACTTTTTTTTTCCCGTGAAGAGTTGAAATTGACTGATTGAACCTTTTTTTTTTTTGCACATGGCGGCGGAGGCCTAAAGTGAAAAGGTTTTATAAAACCCAGCTGAAGGCCTAGGACTGGGGCGATCACGTGGGTGCCCACAGAGAGGACTCTGAGTGCCGCCTCTGGCACCCGTGCCATAGGTTCGCCACCACTGACCTAGCGAGTCAGAGGTTTTTTAATAGAATATAAAATAGAGAACAGGGGTCACAGCTATAGAGTGGTATTACCTTCAGAGCAGAATTAAGAACATATCAGAACATACGAGAAAGTCTGAAGAATTTTGGCACTGCAATAAAATAGCTAACTAATGGGAAACGGTCAGTGGTGGGATTCAGCCAGTTCGCACCACTTTGGCAGAACCGGTAGCTGATTTTTTTTGTTGCCCAGGCCCAGAATGGACTTCTGGAAGCGGCATCCACCACACAGAGAACCGGTTGTTCACATATTTGAATCCTACCACTGGAAACGGTGCAGTTGGAATGGTATTGCTGTAATTTGTAACTATAAGGGACAGATTAGGAGAGAGAGAAAAGTCAGGTTGAAGAATGTGGCTGGAACAACGGTGATGAGGAACTAGACGATCAAGTCTTGGAAATGTGAAGATAGAAAGAAGGGACAGAATAAGGATTGAAGGTCTGAGCATAAATAGTATATCTGAGAAAAGATAAGGAAATGGGATATTTAGGATAGATAAGTGCAACTAATTAGAAACATGGTATAAGAAATAGGAATAAATGAAAGAATGCAAAACTGTTCAGACAAGACACAAAGTTTATTTTTGTAGTGCACTTTGATAGTAAGCTCTCATTTCTTCAATGACCATCAGTCTCTGTGTCTCATCCAAATCTGTACCCTCCCAAAAACTATAACAGGTGTTAGAAGTTTTTTTTTAATCCAAATATATATTATTCTTTACACTGTTTCCACCTTCCCCTTAAAATAGTATCAGAATCCACAATGGTGTGAGATTCAGTGTCTCCACTAGATAATTAACAGTCAAGCTAAAACTAAGTTAATCAACTAAAATTAGCAAACTTCCTCAAATAAGTTACCCAGGACTAATCCATAGATCAAAGGATAAATTCTGCAAACACAGAGTTAATTAAATTAGGTCTCCCAGAGAAACTGCATGTTCACAAGAATAAACATACCCCACCCCCACACGCACACCTCAAATGTCACCCTAGAATCAGCACATGACACCCGGACAAGCTCCCCCTATACAAATCTGCTGTACCCCATTTCTCTACAGCCTGCCCTTAAATGCAAACTGTTTTGTTTTTAGGAATAAATATTTCTTCTTCCCTCACAACTGTTGGGATTTCATTTTTATTTATTCTTGCACAGCCCTGACTTGAATTAGAACCCCAAATTATTCTTCTGACACAGGGCTCTACAAATTCCGCTGCAACTTGGCGGATCAGGCCAACTGCATTTTATTTTTCCCTTTGGGCAATGCTCAGGACAAGTCCATCTCTTTATGTTTCCTTTCCTCATACTCCATTGGCTGAATTGTGGTGTGTGAGAAAGGCATGGAAAACTGGGCCTATGTGCATCAACTGGATTTGTTGCGGATTTAAGTTTTGCTAGGCTCAAAGATGGCATAGTGTGACCTGAATTTCAAAGGCAAAAATATTCTAATAGAATAAAAATTCAACAGGGAAAAATAATAATCTGTAGACCATAATAGGGAAGCATCAAAACATCTGCAGCTGCTTCTTTTTTTTATCAAGGTGGGATGAAAATAGCAAGGGAGTTTTAGCTGTTTTAGAATCTTCCAGGGTTTTACTGCAATCTTTTACTGAAAACATTCTCCTTACTAAGGGATTCTAAGAGAGAAATAAGAGGAACGAGGAAAGGACAGCAGAACTAACTCCAAATTATCTAGAAAAGATCCTCTAGAGCAGGGGTGTCAAACTGCCAGTCCCTGGGCCGGTTGCATCATGCGGAGGCCGCACCCATCCTAGCTCCGGCAATGCAAAAAAAGTGATGATACGTTGCGACACGTCACATGACGTGGCGAGTTTGACACCCGTGCTCTAGAGAAATGGTCCAGAAAAAAAATATTTTAAAAGTCCTACTTCAATTTAAAATGAAAGCCTTTGAAAACAGTATAAAAAGTAAGACCTTTACTCCGCCACTTTTACTGTCATGTGACAATAACATGATTTGCCTTCATGCAGTATTACAACTTTGCTGCCTCGAAGCTCTGAGGTTTTTTTGGGGGGGAAGGACAGGAAAGTTGATATAAATGGTTGCCAAGCTTGACCTGTCTAAGGAAGGACCTTCTCATTGGCAAATCCCAGCTTCTTCCGGATATGCCCCAGTTATGCCAGGGTCATACCTGGCTGGCAATTCTCACTGAGGCATGAAAGAGGGTAAAACAAGCCGGGCACAGTGAAATACAAGCAGACCACAGCACAAAGAAGCCACTATGTGTACAGTATGCACAAAACTCATCATCAGCCAAGGTGCTGTTGTTTCCAGCACGTCAGACTTGTTCAGCAAGAGCCGACACTGGGATTCATGATTAGTCTTATGGTCTTTAATAAAAAGTAGCAGTTCATCCATTATCTTTTCCAATACTGAGCCATGTTTTGTATGGCTGTCTGCAGGTGTGGAAGTTCGGGACAGTTATCCCCAATGGTCCCACTTATAAGCTTGCTGGGGTGGGGGGGAGGTATCTCCACATCTTCCTAATAAAAGCAGTTTATTTGGCTTTCCAACTTTCTGCTTTAGCCCCTTAAGGGATAAACTGAGATTACACAACATGGCCTTAGGCACTCTTGCTGACATGCATTAGGTAGAAATAGTGGGAAAGTGTAAAGGATTGAAGGAGCTTCTGGTTCAAAGAAATGATGCTTGTCAGTTTAAAGCAAGGTGCTGAAAACCTATTCCTTGAGCCCCAGCACTGATCTTCCTACTTTTTATCTGGTTCCTCCTTCGATATATATTAAAGAACAAAGAGTATGCTGGAATGGTCAGATACTGTGCGCTATTAAGGGCAGTTCCCAGGATTCCCCATAAGGTACTTACGCTGATGGAAAGCACTGGGCCCACTTTATACATGGAGTAACGGTCAGTCCCAGCACAAATATCTTTCAAATCGTTGTCCTCTCCTTTGTGTCCAAGTTCTTTCTGCATGAAGTGAGCAAAAGCTTTCATTCTGTTGGGGCTTCCTCCCACACAGACAAACTGCAAAAGGATGATAAGGGTATCAGCCCTTAGAGAAACAACGACTCTCCAGCTACTGCTGCTAAGCTGTCAAAATGGTTTTGTACATTTTTATACCCAAAAGGAGATCGTACTTGAAAGCATGAAGTAAAAGATGGTCCTGATCCACTTGCGCAATGGGGACACACATTGGTGAGGATTTGATCAGGATAATCCCATGGAATTTAATCGTTGTGCGACTTAAGAGCAGACTATAACAACTTGATTTTATTTTTGTCATGATATTAGAAGACCTAAATCAGGGATGAGCAATTTGGGGGGAAGGGGGGGGGTTGAGCCTTCTTTATTTTTTAAAACAGTGTTTTTGGCTCAAGTACTGTCACAAATGGCTGGTTTTACATTTTCAGCCAGAGATTCAGAGTACAGATTTTAAAACTAATTTACAGTATTTATTATTATTTTTAATCCCACTTTCATTATTACTCCTTCTTCCTCTTCTTTTCTCACAACAGCCCTGTGAGGTGGGCTGGGCCGAAAGAAAGTGACTGGCTCAAGTTCACTCAGCCAGTTTTCCTACCTTTGGCAGGACTAAAACTCACAGTCTCCTGATGCCTTCACCACTAGCCAAACTGGTCATGCAAAGTAAACATATAGCTTTATCAATACCATTTTGATTATTGTACACCACCTAGAGTTGCTTCTGTGAGATGGATAACCATATAAATCTGACTAATAAATAATAAATACATTTTACAACTCAATTTGAGCAATGTAATCTTTGAAGATCTGTGGGGCACTGCCCAAACAGGTCTGGGCAACTATGGGTCATTAAGTAGCTGCCCTGGCTGTGTCCCACTGAACTTTGCTATAAGAAATGCACAATTTCTATTGAAAGGAGCCCTTCTATATGCTTCATCAGTTGTGAGGGTCTAGTAATCTAATACCCATGACATAAATAAAATTGAAATGCTTCCTCTCCTGCAAAAATATCCAGTGAAGTGAAACAGTAGTGTGGATAATGTTATGTCCTGCATATTATTTGACTCAGTAAAAGGGGCTGGAGGGAGAAGAAAGAAAAGAGATGCAGGGCTAGTTTTAGATCTCCCCTATATATCTGGTTCTACGCTGACTACATTGTCTCTGGAATTCTGCCCACATTTTGAAGGGACAAGTGGCACAACAACCCAAAATGCATCTGGATTTCACATCTGATGTGCAATGTCTGCATTTTGTATCTCAATTTTGTCCCCAGTCCAAATGCCTCGTTTGCAGCGACTTTAATTTTCAGCTGAAAATAAACCCAGCAAAATAAGCAAGCATTGCATATAAACTGCTAGTAGTTATTTATGCTAGAAACAAAGTCGAACCAGATGCTGAAGTAGTGTGTGGTCTGCTCTATTATTTCAAGAAGGGTGCAAAATTCTATACGTGCAGTCAGGAATTGCAAGCATAAATGCATGTGGAATGTTGGGGAAAGAAGCAAAAAAATCACTTGTGAATTGAGAGGACAACTAATCAAGGCAAGGAAATGCTTTGAATGGTTCCCATTGAAACCAATTAAAATTTTATCTTAATATTTCCATTATAATCAATGAGGTTTTAAATACTTACAGTAGCTTGGCTTCCACATATTCTCCGGAAATAAATTAAAGGAATTCATTGGGCTTTTTCTTATATAGCACAAATAAGCATTTCAGAAGCAAGGCGATTTTACTTTATTTAAAATAAGATTTAGTGAAAGTTTTACAGGGAACATAAAAATTAATACAAACTAATAAAGAGTAAAAGCAATGTAGAAAGAAATAAAGAGGAAATAAAAAACAAGAATAGAGAAAAAGAATAAAAAGAAATAGAAAGAAGAAGCGTCCACCTTCATTTGCAGCAAATATATACTAATAAAAATGATCTCTTACTCTATAATTACATAAGAAAGTTCACACTTTACAATTATGCATTTTTTGTAATCATCGACGCCACAAATCATACATGCATTTTTCCTGTTTTATGCAAAAAGTCTATACTGTAAGGTTTTTCCATTCAGTCAAAAGTGTAGATGCTGATTTTTTTTCTGAACAAAGAGGTTAATTTAGCCATCACTGAGGACCAAGGCAAATTTCCAACTGGTATTCATTTGTTGAAGACCTTTAGATAACAGTCTTATGCAAAAGACTGCATAATGTATCCTCAGTTTAAAGGACTATTTAGGGAAAACACATCAGTTAACCAAAAGGCTTGTTAATATTAAATATTTGTAATTAACATATTTTTTATGCCCTGGACATAAATTTGCATCATTTGTGTTAGGGCAATTGTCCAGATGGGTTTTAAAAATGATAGATATCCATTATTTTGTTTATATGGGGGGAATCCAAATGCAAATTTAATCCATTACACCCAAGGTTCTCTAAATTACAGGCCAGGGAATTGAGATTAAACTGCAAAAGTAAAAAAAATAGGGCTATCAGATTTGGGCCTCAAAAATCTGGATGACCGGAAGATGACAGCAAAAATAGATTTTTGTGTATCTCTTTGCTTCATGTAGATGTATTCACTCCAGATCTACTAATCCTAGCAGAGACATGAGGTATGTAGGTTTAGTTCTTAACATCTCCAGTTAAAAAGATTAGATACAAGAAGTGACCTATCAGGATTAATAAACAGGTATTATTTTATATGTCAGAATATCACTTCCTCAACTCTCATTAGTTCTCTTGTCTGGGGATTCTGTTCCTCTGAAATGTGAACCAGTATCAAATTTGAAGCCCAGATTTTCTTTCTGAAAGTTTTCCATGAGACTAAACACACTTCACAATAGAGTTGGTGTTAATTTATCTGAAAATATCCCTAAGCAGCTTTGGAAGTGGCATCAACCTAAATCAGGCTCTTCTTAGTGAGAGAAATGGGAAATGATACTACTAAGATGAGTCAAATTCCACCATGTATTGTTTTGGAACTGGAGCCAGAGAAACTACCCCAGGGAAGAATTTAGCCCATCAAACTGGCTTTGTTTTCTCAATCTCCTTCCTTCACTGAGAAGAGAAGGGTAATTGCCCATAACTGTGGCTGCAGCATACTTTTTGAGTCACTTTGCCGAATAGCATAGACTATTCCCTTAGGACCTTTAACTCATCTCTGAAGCTTGTCTGTGGTTTTGGTAACAAAAAAAAGAAAAAGAAAAAAGGAGAGCAGCAAGAGCAGAACGGAACGTGTTCAGAAAAGTGGCAGTTGTGTCATCCTGAAGTTACCTTTGTGTCTCCAAACATGGCTGGTAGGTTGTGCGTTTTGGTTCCTAAATCTAAGTGGTAAAGGATGTCCTCCTCCATTAAATCCAAGTGAGGGTTCTTAACATAAACAAATACATTCCTAGGAAAGAAACACAAACAGAGAAGGAAGAAGGGAAATTGCAAGATAAAATATGGCAACCCAGGAATTCAGGTGAAGTTGTATACTGCCCGCTTATATATTAATAATGCCAAGGTTGGAGGGAGAAAAAAGAACACGGGGCCAAACAGGCTCTTTCCAGATGATCAGTTTTTAGTATCATAAATATGTCTCTATTGCCCACTTGGTATGCTGACTGCAAACCCCTTCCCTGGAGGTTGAGTTTCTTGGTGTTCTGCGGCAATATGTTTTATATTCAGGAAGTGGCATTTCCCCCTCCTTTCCCTTCACTGGTGTCTTGTGTTTGCCTTCTGAAATGACTTCATGTGACTGTTAATAGACACATTTCTTATGGTTTGTGAAGTCATTAATAATGATCGCATTGCCATTTAGTTCTGCAATCTTCTTTATTCTCTAGTCTTCACAATGTCACCAGTGGTGGTATTCTCCTGTAGTGCTCAGAAAGAACAGAACAGCCCCTGCTAGATCAAACCAAGCCTTTGTCTGTTCTAAAGCCCCCACCCCCACCCCAAAGACACAGGACTGCTGGAGTAAAGGACACCCAACCACTCCGTACTTATATAAGCAGCCTCATTCTCACATTGTGTTTCTCACATCCACTCAATCAGAGATCTCATAAATAATAATAATAATAATAATAATAATAATAATAATAATAATAATAATAATAATAATAATAATAATAATAATAATAATAGTAATAATAAAGTTGGAAGGGACTTTGGCGGTCATCTAGTCCAACCCCCTGCTCAGGCAGGAAACCCTATACCAGACATGTCAAACACAAGGCCCGGGGGCCAGATGCGACCCACGAAGTGGTTTCATGTGGCCCGCGAAGCCATCCTGGAAACAGTGAGGGAATGGCCCCCTCTGCCTTGGCCCTGGCCCAGGCCATCCGGGAGCCAATGTACAATTTTGTGGCGGCCATCTATGCTGAAATGCATTCAGTCTTAGCTCCACAAGGCCGTCCAGAAACAGCGAGGAACCAGCCCCTGCCGCGTTGGCCCCGCCCCCTGGGTGCATGCTGGGGAGGTGTCACCCTTTGTGAGGAATGGAGAAATGTACCATGCCCTGGGGCTTGCCCCGGTCCCACCCCCTTCTGCCAGAGACCCTCAGACCTGCCCCACTCCTGCCCAGGCCCCCCTTGACGCGAACGGTGTAGAGCTGACCACGCCCACCCAGTAGGCCACACCCAGTCCATCCACCCCCATCCCGTAGGCCGCACCCACCCTGGCCACACCCACATGGCCCCCCAAGGGCAACTGCAATGCTGATGCAGCCCTCAATGAAATTGAGTTTGACACCCCTTCCCTATACCATTTCAGACAAATGGCTGTCCAGTCTCTTCTGGTGCTGACCTCCAGCAGCTACGATTTAGTTTAGGGTATGCTGTCTCTGAACACTGAGTTTTGCCATTTTATTTTTCCATACCCTGCCAGGTTATTTCTGGAAACTCAATATATCTAGGGGGGGGAGATAAACATTCCCTTGTTAAGCTAGGCTCCTAGCAGCTATGTGAACACACGAATATATAGAATATAGAATTGGTTTGCCTTCTTCCAGAATTTTTTTTCAGCTTGTTAATCCAGTTTACTGCTGTGGGATTCCTAATAATGATATACCCATGTACTAGTCAGGTCTGATTATATTTACCATATTTTTCCGTGTATAAGACGCTATTTTTCCCCGCAAACACCCTCTTCAAAAATTAGGTGTGTCTTATACACAGAAAAATAATAGTAACCTCCACAGCCCAGGGCATGCCTGTGTGCATTGCCATGCTGCCTGGTGCAGGGGTCAAGCCCCTGTGGGCTTGCCGCTAATGGGAGGGGGGAGGGGGCAAGATCTTCGGCCAGCCGAACTTGCGGATTTGCCGCCTCAGCTGTTTGGCGTGGAGACTGTCTTATACAAGGGTGCTTCTTATAGACGGAAAAATACGGTAGTTCTTTTTTGTATTAGCCAAGTACCAGAGCATTTTATTAGCTGGAATTATCCCTAAGAAACATGGGCTCCCTACTTTACTGGATAGCAATAGCAATAGCACTTAGATGTATATACTGCTTCATGGTGCTTTACAGCCCTCTATAAGCGGTTTAGAGCAGGTGTGTCAAACTCGCAATGTCACGTGACGTATCGCGATGTATCGTGACTTTTTTCCATTGCCAGTGTAGCGCTACCTCTTTATGGGGTGGGCATGACACATCTGGCCCGCGAGCCGGCAGTTTGACACCCCTGGTTTAGAGAGTTAGCATATTGCCCCCAACAATATTTTACCAACCTGGGATGGATGGAAGGCTGAGTCAACCTTAAGCCCCATCAGGATTGAACTTGGATGTTTCCAAACTGATGCTGAACAGCCTGTCCTAGAGCTACATTAATTAAATTATCCTTTAAGCTATTCAGAAGATGACAAATTGCATTTTTAGGAATATAGTTCAGCCTCACATTAAACTCCTTAATATTTCTTCCCTACATATGTAATGTGTTGAAATAATGCTATAGCTGGACATAATGAGATCCTAGAGTTAAAGATTCTTCAAATTTCTTGAAACACCAGCAAACACACACACACACACATACACACACACAAACACACAACATACATACCAGTACACACTTCCATCCCTTTTAAATAATTCTTCCAGAGATCTACTAAAATATGAAATAGTATTTTCTGATTAAATTCATTTTTTTAATCATAGAAACCCATATTGAAGAAAAATAAAAGAGAATGCTTAGCTTAATGAGGAGATAAATGGAAGACAAAAGGATTACTCAAGATTAAGAGAGAAAGCCAACAAAGGTTTAAAATGAAAAAAACTGCTCAAGAGTCAGAAGCAACAAGACAAAAGAGAAATAACAGACAAAACATATCATCTAAAAGAGTAAGATACAACAACATAACTAAGGGATAAGAAAAGACCCATGAACAATTCTACCACTTTTTAGCTTCTTATTCTTACTTACTATGTATTCTAATTCTTTTATTTTGATTTTGTAAGCTGCCCAGAGCCCAGTCAGGTTCAGAGAGTCAAATCAATTTCATAAAAAAAAATTAAATGAGGTGTTTTTTTTCCTCAACCTGTGTGTCCAACTGACATGTCGGCTAGCACATCAGGACTGGGAGAGCCAAAGAGGTTATGACAGCCAGCTTGATCTGGATCAGAACCAAGAGAATGCAAACCCACCAGGTGTGACATTTGTCTCAAGATCAGCTGTGGCTGAGCATCCTTGCCAAGGAAAAACTTTAATTGTGTTATATAGGTATTAAGCTTATATACTATCTCAGGCATGTCAAACTCGCGGCATCATATGACATCGTGCAACATATCGCTACTTTTTCCCCATTGCCGGCAATGGGATAGGCACGGTTTCGGCGTGATGCATCCGGCCCGCGAGCCGGCAGTTTGACATGCCTGTACTATCTCATTGAAGGTGCTTCAGTCAATTACAAATACTGTTAGGATGGATGAATGAGACACCGAACAAGTCTCTGGACACTGAGATCCCAGGATTTTGACTTCAATATTTGCTCTAGTACACAGTTATTCTTCTAGTTGTAGAATTGTATGGCTGTTGTTTTAATGAATGTAATAAAGCATGCTACCATTTTATTTTGATCTGAATCAAGAGAGGTGTATAGTCTCTTCATTATGTAGCAAAAGGGTCTTCGGCAATGGTGGGATTCAGCCAGTTCGCGCCAGTTCAGCAGAACCGGTGGCTAACTTTTTGTTGCTCAGGCCCAGAATGGACTTCCAGAAGCGGCATCCACACAGAGAACCAGTTGTTCACATATTTGAATCCCACCACTGGTCTTGGGGCTTACTGGTTGGGAAGAGGTACCTCTTGAAGCCCTCTGTTGTTTGGAGGTTTTAATAGCAGGCTGAATGATATTAAATTCTCTAGGACAGTGGTGGCGAACCTATGGCACGTGTGCCAGAGGCGGCACTCAGAGCCCTCTCTGTGGGCACGTGCGCCGTTGCCCCACCCTGCCTCACCCTGTGCCCCACTCACCAACAGCCCCCCTGGAGGAGAGTTGCCCCTGGGCGTGGCCTGCACAGAGCAGCACAGCCAAGGACATGGAAGCCGGGCAGCAGGGCCAAGACTCTACCCTTGCACCGTCTTGTGCAAATGCTGCTGCAGGGTGTGGGTGGAGACCGTGGCAGCTATGGCACTGCAGGGCTACCTGGGCAATCTGCTGCAGCGGGCCGTGGAGGTGGTAAGTGGCCCTGTGGGTGGGCAGGGTGGGGGTGGAGTGTGCAGGGCAGGCAGGGGCAGGAGTGGAGCGGGTGGGACAGGGGGCAGAGTGGGGGGCGGGGTGGGTTTTGGGCACTCGGTGTCTAAAAAGATCACCAGCACTGTTCTAGGAGCTGGAAAAGATTCTACCTGGCAAATCTCTGGGGGATTCAGCTCACAAATCCAGGACTGGATCCAATATGATATCTGAGATTATATAGTTTCATGGAGGCACCATTGATTTTTTTTAAAAAACCCATTTCCCTTTTTTTCCTAATGGCTATATTGCTTGGGGGGGCACCCCACAAAAATCTAAAGTGATTAACATTTCTTCAATTACACTATCTCCTCTTGCAGACTTACCATTTTTAAAGTTCTTATAGCATTTATTACTTTCTTACATCATTTTTTTTCTTGGACACTAAAATCTATAGCATTCATTTCAATTCCATCCTTTAACAGATCATTATCCTTCCCATACAAATCTCTGAAATTTCTAGGATTCTGTTTAATCTCATATCACTTGAAATGTTTTTTTTACATGTCCTGGCTTCAGCAAAGGGAGAAAATATCCATGCAATTGGGAAGCAAAGTGCAGGCATGAAGTGGGTAATTGGTGTGAGGCTTGCAAGAATGTCAGGAAAGCTGACAAGGAATGAGGCTTGGCTAGGAACAGCAATAGTGATAGCACTTAGACTTATAAACCACCCCGCAGTGCTTTACAG